CACTCGGGTCTCGAACTGCTGAACTACCGACCTTCCACAGCCTGCAGTTCAGCGTCTCAACCACTTGAGCCACCGCAGCTCCTTGAATGTGTTAAACATCTTCATTATGCTGTATGCCAATTTATCTGTGTGCATGGATTGGTAGCTTCCACTTCGATGTATCTGGAGAAGTGTGCGCGCCCACGAAAGCTTGTACCTCGAATAAAACTTGGTTGGTCTTAAACGGTGCCACTGGACTCAATCTTTGTTCTGCCGCTTCAGACCGACACGGCTACCCCACCTGAATCTAAGAACAAGTCAAACAATCACTACCCCATTAGTATGTACGGGGGAGAAAAGCGGACTGTAGAAGAAGAGGGAGAGAAGAGATTGGATTTATACCCCGCCCTTCACTACCCAAGGGAGTCTCAGCTCAGAGCGGCTTACGACCTCCTTTCCCCTCAACAGACACCTTGTGAGGTGGGTGGGGCTGAGAGAGCTCTGACAGAAACTGCTCTTTTTCAAGGACAGCTGTGCCAGAACTAGGGCTTGCCCAAGGTCATCCAGCCAGGGGCAAGTGGAGGAGGTGAGGAATCAAAGCTGACAGGAAGGAAACAGATTTGTTTGAAATGTGGTGTTGGAGGAGAGTTTTATGGATATCACGGACCTCCGACAAGACAAATCAGAGGGTTCTAGATCAAACCAAGCCTGAGCTCTCCACAGAAGCTAAAAGGAATAAACGGAGGCTATCGTACTTTGGTCACATTATGAGAAAACAAGAGTCACTGGCAGCGGTCATTTCCTGCAGGAGCGCCCGGGAGCGGAGCTCCGGCAGTAAAGAGCCCAGGGGGCGGGCACATGCAACAAGCCCCACCCCCTGCTCCCAGCAGCCCTCAGTCAGAGCAAGAAGCAGCCAGGTAAGCTGCAGAGCCCCACCCCCAGCCCCCTGGCCCAAAACAGTCCAGAGGCACCTTTAAGACCAAGTTTTATTCAGGTACAAGCTCTCCCTCCTCTCCGAGGGCAGATCTGCACGTTCTCCCCCACCCCCCAATAGCTAGCTATCCAAATCAGTCCAGTGGCACCTTTAATACCAAGTTTTATTCAGGTACAAGCTCTCCCTCCTCTGTGAGGGCAGATCTGCACGTTCTCCCCCCCCCGCCCAATAGCTAGCTATCCAAAACAGTCCAGTGGAGCCTGAGCGGTGGGTGTTGCCTTCTGACACACTTCCGGTGATGTCAGGGGGTGTGGCAAATGCAAATGAGTTATGCTAATGAGTTATGCTAATGAGCTCCTGCACCTCTTTTTCTACGAAATGACCCCTGGTCACTGGAAAAGACAATCAGGCTAGGAAAAATGGAAGGCAGCAGGAAGAGAGGAAGGCCCAACGTGAGATGGATGGACTCAATCAAGGAAGTGAAGGCCCTCCGTTTGCATGACCCGAGCAAGGCCGTTAAGAATAAGACATTTTAGAGAGCATCCATTCATGGGGTGCCCTAAGTGGGAAGCAACTTGAGGGCATTCAAAACACACAGTTCTAAAAAGAATCGTCTCGGCTAAGCTGTCAGGATATCATCACTGTTATAGGTCCAGAGGGTATCGTGCCTTCTATTGGGGGGTTGTTCGGACCTCTTCAGCCTCTGTAGTTGTGGGGGATATGGCTGAAGCGGGTGGAGTTCCTGTCCTCTGTCGTTGGTTGTGTTTGGGACAATAGAGGATTAGATAGATTCATGGAGGATAAGTCTTTCAATGGCTACAAGCCACGGTGGCTGAGGGGAACCTCCACATTCAGAGACAGAAAAACCTCTGAATCCCAGCACCAGGAGGCAATATCGGGAAGGCCTCAGCCTCTCTGCCGTTCCTGGGAGATGACCAAGGAAGACTCTGCAGAGGAAGGCAATGGCCAACCACCTCTGCTTCTCACTTGCCTTGAAAGCCCCTTGTTGGGGTCGCCATGAGTCTTGGATGGGAGGCCACCAAGGAAGAGTCTGCAGAGGAAGGCAATGGCCAACCACCTCTGCCTCTCACTTGCCTTGAAAGCCCTTGCTGGGGTCGCCATGAGTCTTGGATGGGAGGCCACCAAGGAAGAGTCTGCGGAGGAAGGGAATGGCCAACCACCTCTGCTTCTCACTTGCCTTGAAAGCCCCTTGTTGGGGTCGCCATGAGTCTTGGATGGGAGGCCACCAAGGAAGAGTCTGCAGAGGAAGGCAATGGCCAACCACCTCTCCCCCCCTCTCTCGCTTAAAACTCCCCTCGCTGGGGTCGCCATAAGTCTTGGATGGGTGGCCACCAAGGAAGAGTCTGCAGAGGAAGGCAATGGCCAACCACCTCTGCCTCTCACTTGCCTTGAAAGCCCCTTGCTGGGGTCGCCATGAGTCTTGGATGGGAGGCCACCAAGGAAGAGTCTGCAGAGGAAGGCAATGGCCAACCACCTCTGCCTCTCACTTGCCTTGAAAGCCCCTTGTTGGGGTCGCCATGAGTCTTGGATGGGTGGCCACCAAGGAGGAGTCTGCAGAGGAAGGCAATGGCCAACCACCTCTGCCTCTCACTTGCCTTGAAAGCCCCTTGCTGGGGTCGCCATAAGTCTTGGATGGGAGGCCACCATCTTCTGGGCATGGAACAGGGGGCACTGGGGTGTGTGTGGGGGAGAGGTATTTGTGAATTTCCTGTATTTTGCAGGGGGTTAGACTGGATGACCCTTCCAACTCTATGATTCTGCGGAAGACTGCAGAGGAAGGCAATCACAAGCCACCTCTGCTTCTCATTTGCCTTGAAAACCCCTTGATGGGATTGCTGTGATGTCAGCTGTGGCTTAACTGCACTTTGCACAAACTCTTCCTTTATGGCAGTCTGGGCAGACTTTGAAAAAGAATGTTTTCCACGAGGACACACTTCCCCTAAACGATCTAGATATGCAGCAGGGGATTGTTAGATCCAGCATATTTATAGTTAGTTTGCTTACAACCAGGGCTCTTTTTGTAGAAAAAAACCATCAGAAACTCATTAGCATAGTAGGCCACACCCAACAGCAGAAATCCATTAGCATATTAGGCCACACCCCTGACAGCACAGCTCATTAGCACATTAGGCCGCACCCCCATGTTACCAGAAGTGTGGTCATCCAGCCACACCCACCTTTTGCTTCTTATTCTGTTTACCTTGTCTGTTGTCAAAGTTCCAGGGCTTTTTTTGTAGCAGGGACTCCTTTGCATGTTAGGCCACATTCCCCTACTGTAGCCAATCCTAATGAGTTTCTGCTGTTGGGTGTGGCCTATTATGCTAATGAGTTCCTGCTGGGCGTGGCCAACTCGGGAGCCAGCCGGAACTCCGTTCCTGTGCGTTCCTGCCCCAAAATAGCCCTGCCTACAACCCAAAGCTATGTCTGCAGTCATCAATATGTCCAATTTGGAGCAATGGCTCTGCTCAGTGCGGGATCAGACTAGAGCATCCCTGACCAGTGTTTGTCCAGACGCTGCTTGAAGACTGCCAGGGAGGGGGAGCTCACCACCTCCCGAAGCAGCCCATTCCACTGTGGCACAACTCTGACTGTAATTCTTTATCGTAGTATCCAGCCAGTACCTAATTTAAACCCACTGTTGCGAGTCCCGTCCTCTGCTGCCAACAGGAAGCGTTCCCCGCCTTCCTCTAAGCAACAGCCTTTCGAAGACTAAAGGCAGCAATCACGTCCCCCTTCAATCTCTGCTCCAGACGGAAGATTCCCAAGTCCCTCAGCCCCTCTTAGAATCATAGAGTTGGAAGGGACCTCCAGGGTCATCTAGTCCAACCCACTGCACAAATTCAAAAATACCTCCCCCTCCCACACACCCGCTGTTCCACGCCCAGAAGAATACAAAAAAACTCCTCCAGGATCCCCGGCTAAGAGAAAAATTGCTTCCAGACCCCAATGTGGCGATCAGCATTTCCTTGGGCATGTAAGAAAGGGCCACAAGAACTAAGCACTGAGGCAACCCTTCCTGCCCTCCCTCTCGGGCTCTGCTTAAGTTCGCAGAATCAGCATTGCTGTCCGATGGCCATCTAGCTTCTGTTTGAAAAACCCTAAAAGAGAGCCCACCACCTCCCAAGGAAGCCTGTTCCACTGAGGAACC